AAATCTTCATACTCATCGCCCTGATGATGGACACAGTATGACCTCTGAAACGTTGGTAAACATCGACCAGACTACACAGTGCAACAACCCAGAAGACATAAATCTTCATACTCATCGCCCTGATGATGGAGGCAGTATGACCTCCGAAACGTTGGTTAAGGACATAACAGCTGTTTATTGATAAATACATCTGTGGCAAAATGAATGTAGCATTTTCAGTGCACATACCTTGAAGTCAAAGTGTCCTGGGCCCAATATGTTATTTTATTAATATTCATTTCATGGCCTAACCTACTGTACATAAACTCAAGCGCTTCATTGTCTGATATGTATGTGGTATACACATTTCAGGAGTTGGCTTTACGCTTGTCTTCAGAAGATGGCTGTCATTATACAGACAGATTATGTATTGCTGTTAGTTATATTCTCATTTTATATTCATTCGCAACATGTGCAGTGATAGCACAACAAATGCATATACAATTAATTTGAATTACCAAAATGAATAACAAACTTCTCTGATTATTGTCCTCCAGGAAAGTGATATCTGCCTTTCCTAACAGAGATGTAATGATTTTACAGTCTCTGAAGGTCACCATATAAATTACGAATATTACTAATACAATTTTCCACGAATAAGATTGTATTAATACATTCATAAAAGTGACCACTGTGAACAGATGGGTGAAAACTGAATGCCATAAATAAAAAAATACTGTCGTAATAATTAAACCACTTAATAAATAAATAACATTGAAGCCAAATATATGCCTAATACAACCTATGTACATATCACAAGCAGTCCTGTATAAAACTACACATAAGTATGGATATTGAACGTTCATATAGGTTACTAGACAATTAACAATCTCAATAGATACATTATAATTTGTGTGACCATATTTCATCACTATTAATGTTAGAATAATTTAAACTACACCGCCACGGTGGTCTAGCGGTTACAACGCTGGCCTTGTAATCCTGGGGTCTCAGGTTCGATTCCCAGTGGTGCCCGAATTTATAACTTGTGTTGGGTAAGGCCGTGGTCTAGGCAACACGGAGTTTTCCTCCAGGGCATCCCAACAATTACTCCATTCACATACACAGAAGAAGGCAATGGAAAACCACTTCTGGAGCATCTGCCAAGAACGTATATGAACAGGTCCCAGTCCGAGAAAAGGATGGAAGGATCCTGTTCATATGGACCTGTCGTCAGACAGAACACTAAATAAATAAATAAATAATTTAAACTATTTAATAAGTAAATAACATTGAAGCTAATAAAACCTATGTATATATCACAAGCAGTCCTGTATAAAACTACATATAAGTATGGATACTGAACGTTCATATAGGTAACTAGACAATTAACAATCTCAATAGATACATTATAATTTGTGTGGCCATATTTCATCACTATTACGGTTAGAATAATTTAAACTATTTAACAAATAAATAACATTGAGCCAAATTTATGGCTAATAAAAACTATGTACACATCACCAAAACCACAGGCAGTGCTGTATAACACTCCGCATAAGTATGGATATTGAATGTTCATATAGGTAACTAGACAATTAACAATCTCAATAGATACGAGGTGCGATCGGAAGGTTTCCAGACTGCGCGTATAAAAACCCGTACACTTATCTCAGGTATTTAATTCATCCATCACCCTCGAAGTAGTTCCCCTGGGAGTGAACACAACGATCCCAGCGCCGCTGCCAAGCCTGGAAGCATCCCTGGAAATCTTTCTTTGTCAGCCTGTCAAGCACCATCTGCGATTCTGCCTGAATCTCTTCTATCGTCTCAAATCTCCTTCCCTTTAGCTGAATTTCATCTTTGGGAAGAGGAAGAAGTCACACGACGAATAAGGATGGTGTGGGATGACGGCCATGGTGTCTGAGGCCAAAAACTGCCGAACTTTGAAGGCGGTGTGCGCTGGTGCGTTGTCATGATGCGTCGCATGTGGAGTTCTTCCTTTAGAATCAGCTGACAGGTCCCATAGCCTATCCCAACAATGTCGCACAAGTCGTTGATGGTACGACGTCGATCTTCGTGAATGCCCTGCCGAATCTTCGTAACATTTTCGGGCGTCGTGCTCGAAGATGGTCGTCCAGAACGCTCGTCATCATCGACAGAGGTTCAGCCATTTTTAAAACGTGAATGCCACACAAAAGTTTGTGCACGACCCATTGCGGACTCCCCAAATGCTTGCTTTAGCATTTCATAGGTTTCCGTAGCCGTTTTGGCGAGTCTTTGGCAAAATTTGATGCACACGCCATTCCGAAAGCGCAGGAGGGTCGGTGTAATGCACTACAAAAACGCCCGTAACTAAGAAACAAATGCTAATTCGATGATGCCGGCTGGCACACTGATTCACTATGAATGTAGGCCGCACCCCCTAGCGGCAGAAGCTCGTACTACATCCGGTTCACCC